TTCATAAGCGGTTTGTAGCCATTTGATTGTGCCAGTATTGTTCTTTAATTTAAATAGCTCTTCTCCATCCATGATACATTTATGAGTAGGTATATATAAAAATAATCTTACCCCTCTCAACCTTCATTCTGGTAAGCAAAGCTCAGCTAGATCATTCAATTGCTTTTAATCCTCTCTCCTAAAGTAGGTTCTCCTTTTCCTTAACCATTCCAGTAGCCCTTCTTTGTACCTGTTCCAATTTAAGATAATCTTTGCTGAACACAGGTAAATCAAAACTGAGCACAATATTTTACATGGAGTTTTCCCAAGGCTCTGTAGAGTGGTGTTAATACTTTCTCATCTCTACAGAATATAACCTGCTCAGTATAACTTAGAATTGTCCTAGCTTTTTTTGACATCTGCAACCAGACGATGGATCTTGGTCATCCTACAGTCAACCAGTATACCTAGGTGCCTTTCCTCCATCCTTGCCTGCAGTCTACAAGTTTCTGTGCGGGCCCTCTCCCGATCCCGCCTGGGTTGCCATGTGCGAGTTCTCTCCCGATCCCATCTGGGTTGCCATGTGCGAGCTGCGGGCGAGCCGGGCCCGTCTTTGTGCACACAGGCTGTGGCCAGCAGCCTGGGCACACGGGGTTGGAGAAAACCGCGGCACGGTATGGTACGCTCGAGCTAGAATCAGTCACGGAGGTGTAATGGTTGATTGAAAAGATTATTTACTTACACCCAAGGTGGTCGCGGTGTAGGCTGGTCAGCTTTCCAGGCACAGCTCCACTTGAGTTCTCGGTGGAGGACTCTAATAGACTCAGTTCCTTGACCCCGGAGTGGTTTAGGCTCCGCGGGTTCAATAATTCGTTCTCACGGAGCAGCTGTATCTCCGTGGGTTACTCGGTTCCCAGGTCCCCCGGAGCTGTTAAGACTCCGTGGGTTCGACAATTGGGTCCTTAGGATAGGGATACGTCTGGACTGCGATCGGCGACGGGGAGAGGCTAGAGGTTATGTGCCTCGGAGTTGTTAAGGCTCCGAGGGTTCGGTAAATAGGTCTCCCGGAGTTGTTGAAGCTCCGTGGGTTCGACAAATTAAACCTCTGTTGCCTTCTTAAGGAAAAAGCTGGGTTCGTAGGGATCAGCAGTGCTTAGAAATCCTCACACTCCTTTCCCGAACTCCACGTGCTTTCTCTCTCTCCGACTTGGGCGGAAACTACCCAAGCCTTTTGTACGGCTAGCAAGCCAATAGCTAGCCACCACGTATGCCTACATTTAGAACCGGCCAATAATGTGGCACGAATCTAAATACAAATGGCAGGAACTCCTTTGCATCGTGCATCACTATAATGCAAAAGGAATGCACTATGCAAAGAAGGCTACAAAACTGGTGGGAAAAACTCCGAAGCACACACAAACAAGAAAACCACAACTTTGGGTTGTGACAGTTTCCATCTTATTTCCAGTGTTCTTGCTATCCGGTCTTATGTGCATGACTTGGTATTTCATGTTACTGAATGTCATACTTTGTCTATTGCTCCATTCCTTGGTTATCTAATTGTTCCTGTATAATACAGTCCTGTTCTGTATTAGCATTATTTTCCATCTTTGTGTCATTTGCAAATTTAAAACGTACATCTAATTCCCGCACCAAGAGTGCTAATGAAAATGTTAAACAGGGTGTGTGCCAAGACCGATTCTTGAGGAACACCACTAGTAACCACTCTCCATTCTAATAACTTACCTTCCAACATGACTTACTGTAGTTTCACTTTCAGCCAACTCCTTGTTCATATTATCATTACATCAATCCCTATCCTTTCCAGTGTGGCTGATAACTCCCCATGAGACACAAAATCAAAAGCTTTTATTTAAAATCTAGGTAGATGAGATCCACTGCATTACCCTTGTCGAAGAAGTCAGTTATCCTGTCATAGGATGATATGATCTGGACAACCATGTTGTCCTATTGTCTATTCTTTCCTTCAATATCTGTTGAATACATTGTCTAGTATCAAAGTCAAGCCAACATATTTGTGAGTGCCTGAGCCACAATTTTCCCTTTCTTGAATCTGTGCACTATTGTTTACTATTCTCCATCCACCCAGTTATTATTCCTGATTTGATAGACTAATTCAAAATCTGGGCTACAGGAGTTCCTGCTTCATGTGTCGATTCTCCTAGTAGTTTGGGAGTTTTATCACAGTAAGATTTTTTGCTTCCACCTCGGACGTATTTTCCATATGCACGATCATTTCCATTTGGTAGCTTATGATTATCCTCATTTACACCATCATCTTTATTGAAGATTGCAGGAAAGCATTTATTTAGCACAAGGGCTATACCTAGATTAACCTTGTTCTTCACCTCATCTTCAGTGTGTAGTGTTCCCATTTCTTCCCTCCTAGTTTTCTTTTTACTTACATGGTTGAAGATTCTTTCCC